AAGTTGAATTTCTCGTGGCATATTTTCTCAAGAAGTGAAATTCAGACTTGCCCCAGAATTTCATATGTACCAAAGATCACGATGAGTTGACTTATGTGACAATTTTTTTCTCAATAATATTGTTTTGCACTTGTGCTGATGAGATTTTTGTGCAACATTAAGGAAATTATAAGTCTCCGTCACGTGATCAACAAAGTTATGTGACATCACAAAAATGCATTGTTATATTGCCTGATTACAATCTCATCACAAGTTAACTGCAAATTCATACATAGATTACAAACTGAAATTAAAATCTAGCTCAAAATAAAATACCGGTATATATTTTAATGCATATTAAGGACGTACAACACACCCACCACCAAAAATTTCCTGTCGTTTAATTTTCGCTATTTTTGTATATATTATATATGACTATATATACAATGCGTATGCACATTTTGGACAAAATCGTTCGAGTAGTATTTGGACAGGAAGTTCCAAAAGTCACCCCCCTTTGGTTGTTCAGGCGGAGAAGAAACTTTCAATCGGCTAGCTATAAAATCCTTGATTATCAAAAACGTTCAGCTAGTCTGGCTGTCAAATATCATTGACTCATTCATATAACCATTAACCACACAAATAAAGTATTTTTGTAGACGTACACATTGGCAAAATATATTTTGAGAAACTTAAACTGAAAAACTATGGTTCATTTAAGCCTTAAAATATACGTATTTTTTAATTTAAAATATTTTTTTTATGAAAAAAAAACTATGGTTTAATTTTGGATAAAATACTTTTTTCATGTAACTGGTTACAAAATTAATCTTGATAGTTTTTTGTTATATTTTAAAAGAGCCGTTTTGAATTTATAGCGAAAACTAATCCCCCTTTTCTCTTTAAGTCACGTTTCTCAAGCGTCTTTCAGACGTGGGACGAAAACATTGTTAGATCTACAAATACACATGAAAAATTCCAAGCTAGAAAATATTTTTTGCTTTAAAAAAATTACTTACATTATATATCAGTGTTCTTGAAACTTTTCAGTTCATTGAAATGCAGATGTATGGGCAATTTTTGTCGAGCCCCCCCCCCCTTTTTTTTTCTGAACACAGTCATTAGAAATTGATGAAACATAGGTTAACCTCGAGATATATATTTAATCTTTTAAATACCTGAAGTACCAATAAATTCATTCATTCATGCAGATTAAAATTCTGACAACTAGAATAATAGTTAAATTATCAACTACTAGAACAAAAGTAAAACTTATTCTCTGAGGATTTTATGTCCAAGTGTCCAATATGTAGTCCATACATATGGCTGAAATGCATTTAATTTTATGCCTGCATATGAATTCAACTTACATTGAATTTTAATCTCATTTTTCATTAAAAGTGAACGCACAATGTTGAAAATTCAACTGTTCTATGATGTAAAAAGACTGGTGAATGGAATATGTTGTTTCTTATTTATTTTAAACAAGAGAGGGGTCTAAAAGTAACCCACCCAACCCACACACACACACACTGGTATGCATCCATCTTTTGCTTCTATAGATAAAATGGAAATATCGTATTCGTCTACATAACTTCAATTTATCAAAGTTTAAATTTGCCATCTATGTTTAAATATATTCGTGTGTCAAAATATTCATGTACAGTGATACATGTATAAAACATTTTGTTTTGATTTGAGGAAATGCGCACTGAAATTGTTGACAGTGGGAGATCGTAGATCTAGATGGTCGGATATGGCCAGTTTGACGCATATAAGATATTCATGAATTCGGACCATTTCAGTAAACAATTCTATTACATTTTCGGTACTTACTTAGTATATAGGCCTATTATAGTTTTCAGTTCCTGAGTTCATCAGAATTCATTGTAACTGTTCGACAAACAGGAGGAAATAACTCAAGGAGGGGAGGGGAAAATCTCCCACATTTTTAGAGTTGTTCCTTTTTGATCAGTGAACTTTCGGAAACGGGTTGTAAAACATTTTTCTTTTTCTTAAAGGAGAACAAAACAGTATTTATATGGCTAATTCTTAATTTTAAGATAGGCCCGTGATCTGGTAATGCGAATGTTACATAGCCAAATGTAACAAAAGAAAGCAATGTATCATAAAAAAGATAAAGAATATTGTTCTGCTAATATTGATCAAGGATACGAGTTTTATATAAAATTAAAGATTTGGTCGTCATTTTGACGCTTTTTTTATAAACGCCAAATTTGACGTCAAGTTAAACGTTAAATTGAAATTGCAAGAGTTATCTCCCCTAGTGTGTTGTACGTCTTTAAGCCTTCGGGCAGCCTTAATTAACATAGCTGCGTATAATTGTTGGGGGTTCTCACGAAATAAGTCATTAGATCTATTCATATCAAGATTGCGTGATTCTCAGATCTAAAATGCTCTGAATGTATTTTATTTATACAGAGATAATACAACACCAAATGATATTTTGTTTATATTTAATGTTATGGCGAGTATTGGTCGTGGCATAATAATAATAAAATATAATAAAATATAATTAATAATCAAACATCTCTCAAACTCAAATATGCATTTTACTAGTTCACAGTTAATATTACTGTCACATTAAACTACAGTGAACTGTGGTTCACACATCAACACAGTCCAGTTGAGTATAGTACAAGTTTCACACAAATATTGTCAACAGTTGGCTTGGTGTGCGCAGATGTTCATCAATCCTGGAAAGTGCCACGACGATTCCTTACGCATGTGTCCAACTATATCCTAAGGGAACTGATGCTCCAAAACCTGAAAAAGAAGAGGAGAAAAAACCCAGGCACCAGAAATTCGTTTTTTTTAAATTAACATACAACTTCATATCTGACGTGGAGGGAGGGAGGGTATTTGATACTTACAAGGCAAAATTACTTAAATGTTTTAACAACTCTTTCAACACGTCTTTACCTTTGAAAAGTTCAGCAGAAAGGAAATTGAATGACAAACCCGAGCGTTTATATACTCCTTCAGTCAGGCCGAGCCGACTCAAACTAGAGGTACTGTGAGCACTGAGCTCACTAAATGATACCCCCCCCCCCCGCTTCCCATATGATTATAATGGCAAAGTCCATGTTTTGCTCTGGGAAACCCAAATTAAGTGTCAGATCAAAAAGTAAAATAAGAGGTGCACAATGGCAATATGTAACAAAGATTCTGTGAAAGTCTCATAAAATTTCATTCATCGGTATAAGAGGAGTTGTGGATAAGAGATAGGTAGTACACAAAAGCCTAACAGCCGGCCGGCCGGACGGACGGACAGACAGACGGACGGACGGACGGACACCCCAATCACTATATACCCTCCCACTTTTCAAGCTGGGGGTATAATAATAAAATACTTCTCTCGTAAAATAAAGGCATCTATTTTGTATATAAGCAAATAGATGCTATTAATAAATTCCATGTGTCGAAACGAGCAGTCTAGGTTGAACGGAAATTGATAAGTTAAAGTTACATTTAATGTATCTCTTTCAATGTTTTCTATACGTTTGTTTCCCGCTTTATTCCATCAGATAAAATTATCTTCGTCAAACAACGACGGGTTCATATTTCATGCTGGTGGTAGCGCTATGATTGATACCTCCAATGACCCATATGGAGCTGTTATATACGGATACAATGAAACGGAAGTCATGCTCTGGAGACCAGCCCAAACAAATACAAACGGACATTTGGTTTATGTGGGCGGACAATGGGGCGCGGGGCAAAGTAATCAACAAAGTGACGTGGTGGAAGTCGTCGTTAAAGTTATTGACATAACGGGTACATTTGTATAGCTATTGAATTGAGAGAGAATTTTTTTATGAATGAACATTAAATACATTTTCCTTGTCAATGTAGTGTAAAAATTCTGGTTACGGATATAGAAACATATCTAGATATATGATAATTATAAGAAAGAAATTTTATCTCTACGCAGCACAGTTAAGGCTACAAAAAGGAGGCGGGGCCTAATTTGTACGGTAAAGTTTAACTATGACATCACACAAAACTACCGAATGCTTAAAATACCTCAGAATGAAATGATCTGTAATTTTAAACTGTACCAGAGCATTAAACTGCATCAAAACTTACTATAACATGCTGTTATGTTGTTAGTTAAATACCACACAGCAAGGTATAAACAAGTCACTGAATGCGATGCACTTGGCGATGTGACATCATTTCGTAAAACATGACGCAGTTTGTATGTAGTGAGAGGCGGTTCAAGTAATTTTTTCACAACAAAAAATGTATTTTATTATTGAATAAAATATTATTTGCAGATATTTAAGAGGCTTTTGACTTGGATGCAATGTCTTCATGATTATATTCATACATTTTCTGTACATATCCTATTTAATTGATGCGGCCGTATATTGTACACAAGTATATCGGAGGGTAATGTAAGGGTCTAAATCGATCTAGTGCAAGGGCATCCACTCATTGGATCATAATAAGCTTTAACAAATAAATTTTAGAAGTATTAAGCTATTAGAAGACTGTTGCGATCGTGGTGAAATCTTGAAAATGAATTAATTTTATCTGTATTTAATGCCGTTGACCAGCAAAATATTCAGCATGCGGTCATACAAATATGATTTTAACAATAAAATAGCAAAATTTACATAGGATCGCAGCACTTTTAAGGAACTACAATGCGTGTTCAAAATATTTATAAACTAAACTTAGAATTTTAACTTGGTTAATATCCCCTTGCATTAGTAAAATCCATAGGTTACCTCAATACTGCAAGTACATGTATGATTATGTGCTAACATCACGTGAATGGGGCATCACGTGACAAGTCTAAATATAAAATCTAATCGTCCTCAATATGTAGTTAATAACCATAATTACATTCGTCTGCTATAGATTAAAGTACTAAAAAAGAACCGCCATCCTGATTAAGAATATATTTTTAATCACAAAAATTGCCGATATTTCCATTGCGCACCTTAACTGTACTGCGTATTTGTAAAGTAAGGTAAGCTCATTCCCTGTAGGCACGCCTTGCAATGGTACGGAAAGATGTTCACCTGATTGGCCAAGGAGCAGATGCATTTCTACAGGTATTACATATTCTTCTACATACATGTACATGATATTGATAGGTTTCTTTGCTAAATCTTTAAAAATATTTGACAAAAATTGTTCTTTTTTGCAATATCCCTATAACCATTACAATACAACAATCGATGATAAAGGAAGACTATGCTCATTGTTATTATTTCGTTGTCATGAATCTTTTCTTGACTCCATTTCTCCCAGGATTTCCTTTAAAACTATGGTAATGCTAAACTTTAGATTGTCCAATCCCTCCTGACATTGGCAATGCTTATAAACTATACGAAGGATTAACTAATGGAAGCAAAGCATTGTACTCTTGTAAGACTGGATACACTGAAAGTTCTGATGACGTTATAATTAACTGTGTTGACGGTACATGGTCTATGACTTCAATGTTCTGTAAAGGTATATTGTGGATATGAAAAAGACGTCTGTGAATAATTATGATATAAAACTGTAATAGTAAAGAAATCAATTTCAATCGATAAAATAAATCATTTATCAGGATTAAAGAAAATCAAATTCTTACACATTTTGTTCTTTTAATATTTTAATATTGATTTTTTTTTTAATTTTTTTTTTTTTTTTAAAATTTTAAATTCTTTCAAATTTTGAAGCTGTTTGCACATCACCTCCAGCAATTGAAAATGCGGCAGTTTTTGTTCAGGACAATAGAGCAAAATATTACTGCTTAACGGGATATTTCGCCATTGAAAATACAGTTGACATTATTGAATGCAGCAACAGAATCTGGCCGTCACCTGATTTTAAATGTATAAGTAAGGATCATGGTCTATATACATGGATTATTTAGTGACTAAAATTAAATTTCATGAGTAAATGCGAGTAAAATTGTATTCTTATGTTTCTACAGAAAGCCCTGATATTTGGGGTGCCTTTAAAAATCAGAAATATATTTCTTCAATGCTATATTAATAGAGGGCACGAAAACGTATACTTGAAGTATTGCAAGTCAGAACATTATACGAAAATATGTAAGACATTATGTACGTAATTATTTTACTATGTTAATTAATATAGTATGATTATAGTAATAACAGTCCCTGAAACGTTCTACTTTCCCATTTGTCCGTTCGCTCACCGTTCGTTCACCGTTCGTTCAGCGTGCGTTCACCGTTCGTTCACCGTTCGCTCTCCGTTCACAGTTTTGCGTTCACCGTTCACCGTGCGCTCGCGTTCACCGTTCACAAAGCGTTCAGCGTTCGCTCTTCGTTCCGTTCACTTTGCGTTCAACTTGCGTTCAGCGTTCACCTATCGTTCAGTTTTCATTGCCATTCGGAACTCCGAAGTGAAAGGACTTATCTTTTTGTAGTTAAGGAGTTACAGGTTTCTTTTAAATTTATTAACTAACATATCGTGTTTGAAGAATCATTATTTCATGAGGAAAAATATCTACGATATATATTTTTATTATTTTAACTTAGCTGTTAGGTTATTTATTAAATTACTCTGGAAAATAAATGTTGTTACAAGCACATTCTGTACCTATGTAGAACGATGCTGAAATATTAAATTTAACTTAGTGCAATGTGGAAATACTTCAAGCACTGCAACATTTTGTTGTTTTGTTAAAGACGACAAATCATTAAGGGAGATATAATTATTCAAGTCAAATAATTACGCAGCAAAATTACGAAAATATTTATTTCTAATACGTTTTTTTTCAATTACTACGGAAAATATAATAGAACTAGTACTAGTTCTGAGAGTTATACATAGTACTGCGGATATCCTGTTAATTTATTATCTTTAGAACGAATTAAATTGAGTGTGGTTAAAGGAAATATTTATTTAAAATGAAATGCACTACAGAATTTCTCTACTGTAATATGTAAAGTATATAGTTATAGAGAAAAAAAACTTTCTTCACCGTAACTTAATATGTTTGCTAATCGATATGATTAATACCCCCCCCCCCCCCCTTTCCCCCTAAATCGGTGACTTAGTCAGTACCATATTTCCAGAATGTTTTAATTAACATTTTAAAAAAAAAAAAAGCTGCTACGGTCTTTTTTAGAAAAAAAAATTCAGTGTCAAAACAAACATGCATCTAAAAAAGTCACAAACCAATAGTAGATCAAAATGTACAGGTGTCGGCGGTGGTATTTGAAATTGGCAGAGAGTATGTTTCACATTCAAGTGTTAATGCCTAATGTATTTTACTAATTTATTATTCAATTGTTGGAATCAAATCTAGAAATGATAAAAATAAATGTTATAACTTGTTGGAAATACTCGCACTTCGTCTTCGATGTGACGAAACTTTCACACCTGCACAGTGTCGAATGATTTTGATTGACAGGACAACCACGTGGACTTCGTGTGAACTTGAAGCAGGAAAATAAAAAAAAAAACAAGTATGACTGTCAAACAAATGGATATGATTTGTTGATAAAAAAAAGAGTTACTTTCACTGTCTGATATATTTAGAAAAAAATTTCCGAGTTTTTGTTTGATATAGGTACAAACATTTGGTGAAGCCTGAAAGGAGGGGGGTGGGCTAAAACTGAATATTACTCTCTCTCTCTCTCTCTCTCTCTCTCTCTCTCTCTCTCTCTCTCTCTCATTTGTCTGTTTAATAAAAACTATAACACCATATTACTTAAATATCAAGTTCTGAAAATTGAATTTATAACAAATAATATGAATATGTATCTTTGTGTCATCATGATCTTGTTCGAGTATAATCACGGCCATCTAGAGATGCATGTAAACGTCTGCTCAATAAATCATAATGAAAAATAGAAATGACACATAATATATTATTGTTTTAAATATTTAAAATACGAGCGTATAAATGTAATTAATTTTTTTTTCATTACTTTACACGAAATCGCCTTGACACGGAGATATATATATATATATATATATATATATATATATATATATATATATATATATATATATATATATATATATGAATATAAGTTACAACCGCTTTAATTCATTCTATAAATCATAAGATTTCTCTGATTTGTTATCAACTAAGAATAAACATTTTTATTTTCCAACTAAAAACAATATCTTTTATACTTCAGCGTTCGGCAACAATTGCAATGTTTTAATGCGATAAAAATCGTGTGTTTTAAAACTTAATGTGCATGCATCGTCTTTCTGAGGACAATTTTGGAGAATTTATTTTATTGACTTAATTATTCATTCATTTATTTGTTTACTTATTTATTATTATTTTTTTGGCACCTGACATTATAAATACAATAAAATAGTTTCAATGCAAGAAAAAAGATCAGAGGCATTCCGAATATATCGTTCATCTTGCGATCACCGTTCGTTCACTGTTATTTTTGCGTTCGCGTTTGCGCTCCGTTCGCGTTCTGCGTTCGCTCACCGTTCACCGTTCACACATCGTTCACCAAGTTGCGTACAGCGTTCACACATCGTTTACTCACCGTTCGTTCAGCGTTCGCTCACCGTTCAAGTGGGAAAGTAGAACGTTTCAGGGACTGTATACTATGTTTTCTATATAGAATCCTGTCCCGATCCTCCATCCATTACTAATGCTAACGTCATGGTCTCTAACAATGTTGCTTTGTATTCCTGTCTTGAGGGGTTTCTTCCAAAATCTGGAACCAGCTCAATAAAATGCTTACTATCTGAGTGGCAAACAACAAATTTCAGTTGCTATGGTAAGAGGAGTCTTTTTTCTAATTTTATTCGTAACTATGTTGTTTGAGAATAACCTTCTTTTGACAGTTATATATATTATTATTTTTTACCTACTTCATTAGATACCCTTGAAATAGAGTTACTAAGAAGGTTCTATTGTTATGATTTCTTGAATAGAAAGAAAAGTGATTTAAATAAAACTACAGTTGTATTTGAGTATAAGTAAAAACTTCATTCATATGACGTGAAAATAAACTTGACAAGGCATTTATGTTGCAATGCGGAAATATATTACAGCTGTAATTATCATTTAAAGACGTACAACACACTGGGGGAGATAACTCTTTGGATTTCAATAAAACGTTTAACATAACGTTAAATTTGACGTTAATTTTGAAGCGAAGCGTCAAAATGACGAGCGATACGATCCCGATGTAATTAATGTAAAAAAAATAGAATAGAGGTTTTTATTGTTTTTTCTTTAGAAATACCAAATCCTATCCTTGATCATTTGCGCAATTGCAATAAATCCCCCCCCCCTTCCATAAAAAAGACAGGTTCCTTAAACTTCTTTAATTTAAATTTAGTTAATCAATTCTTTAATATTTTATTTATAATATACAAAAAAGGCAATACTTTAATCTAAAAATGTTAATGCTACTCTACATTGCTTTTTCCCATTACAATCGGCAGCATAACATTAAGAATAAATGTTACCGGTATGTCTAAATATTATCATATACAAAAATAAACAGTTTCTATGCTTTTCTTTTCTTTGAAAACAAAATGGAAAAGAGTAACCGTTTTCAGAAGGTCACTGATCAAAGAGAAACAACTCTAAAAATGTAGAGGTGTATGTCTTTTTTCCCCTCAGCTGAGTTATTCCTCTTGTTTTCCGAAGAATTATGGATTTTTTCCCTGACAAATACACAGATACATTTACAGTGTGTTGCAAGGAACACAAGAACTGAAAGCCAAAGTTTTTACAAATTAAAGTAAGAATCAACAGTGAAAAATTATTTACTGAAATTAATACAACGGTTTCGCCCCATTGAGAAAATCTTTTACTGTAAACAGTTTCAGTTCGCATTTCCTCGAAAAAAAAAACCCGATTGATACCAATGTAGATGATACCATTGTAGATGATTCAGGCACATGAATATTTTTAATATTGATAAATAATTTATAATTTGGAACAGTTAAAGTTGATATGAACGAATACATCATTTCCATTTATTGAAACAACAGAAGGATACAATATCGAGGGGGGGGGACCCTCTCGTTCGAAAACAGAAATATATGTACATATATTCCATTTTCATCACAACAGAGTTGTACATACACCACTGTTAATTGGTTCACTTAAAAATTAATATTCAATACAAGTAGAAGTCATATAAAGGTTAGAAACTGCATCTGTGTGCATGAACTCCAAACCGGACACGTGGTCATAGAAGCCTTAGAAAAGTTGTTTTACTAAATATATATATATATAAATAATATTTAGAATAACCAAAAATATTAGTGGTCAATATTTAATCTGTATACACGAATGAAGGACATTACTTTAGGAGCTCAATATGCCAGTTACATGTATATATACATGTATTATGCAGACGTTACCGATGTTTTTTTTTTCAAGCTCGAATGTCCTGCATTGCAGAGAAAAATGGAGGAGGGGGGGGGCTTAAAATTTCAGAAATTGCTTATTCATCTTCATTTAAATGCAGATGTAAAATTTTATATTTGTGATAAATATAATGTACATTACATATTTTAAGTAAAAGATATTTTTCGGCCAGGAATTTTTATTAGTATTTGTAGAATCATAGCATTGCTTTCGTCCCAAGTCTGAAAGACGCTGTGAGAAACGTAACTTACGGAGAAAGGAGGAGGGGAGATTTTCCGCTATAAATTCAAAACGCGTCGTTTAAAAAACTTTCAAAAAATTATCAAGAACATTTTGATCATCAGTTACAAGAAGAAATTATTTTTTTTCAAAATTAAACGACAGATTTTTTCATAAAAAATCATTTCATTTGAAAATCACGCATTTTTCAATGCAAAAAATGAATGATAGGTTTTCAGTTTAAATTCTTCAAGATCGTTTTTCTCGAAATGTATCTCTACAAATTCACTTTGTTTGTGTGTTAATAGTTAAACGAATGATTCAGCAAATTTTGACAGCTAGGCTAACCTTAAATAATTTAAAACTAGAGGCACTGTGAGCACTGAGCTCACTAAATGATACCCCCCGCCTCCCATATGATTATAATGGCAAAGTCCATGTTTTGCTCTCGGAAACCCGAAATAAGTGTCAGATCAAAAAGTAAAATAAGAGGTGCACAATGGCATTATGTAATAAAGAATCTGTGAAAGTATCATTAAATTTTATTCAGTGGTATAGGAGGAGTTGCGGATAAGAGATGGGTACCCTTCAATATTATAGAAGGAATGGCAGTGTCCATCTTTTGCTATGGGAAACCCGAAATATGTGTCCGATCAAAAAGTAAAATAGGAGGTGCACAATGCCACTATGTAATAAAGATTCTATGAGAGGTTCATAAAATTTCATTCAGTGGTATAAGAGGAGTTGTGTATAAGAGATGGGTACCCCAAAGCGTAACAGACGGACGGACGGACGGACATCCCGATCACTATATACCCTCCCACTTTTCAAGCGGGGGGTATAATAGGGGATTTTATAGTTAGTTGGTTTAAATTTTTTTTGTACTCGTGATCAGCCAAAGGGGTGTAACTTTAGGAACTTCCTGTCCAAATTCGGCTCGAACGATTTTGACCAAAATGTACATACACATAGTAGATATTGTCATGTATAATATCTACAAAAAGAGCGAAAATTAAACGCCAGGAAATTTTTGAGGTAGGTGTGTTGTACATCCTTAATTGCTTGCAACAATCACAAAATGCAGAGAACATAATAATAATATATATAATTAGATGATTTATTTTGATTGGAAAATTTTCATGGATTGCATTAAAAAATAAGTTTTATTTCGTTGTTGGTGGACACGCATGACACTTTTGATTGAAAGTTTTCAAATCTCGTAGTGTGTAGAGGGTACATAATCTATGAAGTGAATGTTCTGTAAAGTATACTGTTAATATGATATATAAAAAATCTAATAGTTCAAAAATCGTTTTCACTTGATAAATTTAATTATTCATCAGAATTTAAAAAAATCAAATTCTAACACACTTTTGTTCTCTTAATTTGAAGCTGTTTGCTCATCACCTCCAGCAATCGAAAATGCAGCAGTTTTTGTTCAGGACAATAGAGCAAAATATTACTGCTTAACGGGATATTTCGCCATTGAAAATACAGTTGACATTATTGAATGCAGAAACAGAATCTGGCCGTCACCTGATTTTAAATGTATAAGTAAGGATCATGGTCTATATACATAAATTACATATAACAGTGACTTAAATTTTAATTCATAAATAAATGCAATTAAAATTGTATTTTTATGTTCCTACAGAAAGCCTTGACATTTGGGATGTCTTTTAAAATCATAAATACATGTATATCTTTTCTTAAATGCTTTATTAATGGGTTGCACCAAAACATATATTTAAAGTATTGCAAGTCAGAAAATAATTCGAAGATCTGTAAACCATTATGTAATCTTAGTTATTTGACCATGTTTATTAATAGTAATTACACTATGTTTTCTATACAGAATCCTGTCCTGATCCACCATCCATTGCTAATGCTAACGTCATGGTCTCTAACAATGTTGCTTTGTATTCCTGTCATGAGGGGTTTCTTCCAAAATCTGGAACCAGCTCAATAAAATGCTTACAATCTGAGTGGCAAACAACAAATTTCAGTTGCTATGGTAAGAGGAGTCCTTTTTCCTATTTTATTCGTAACTATGTTGTTTGAGAATAACCTTCTTTTGACAGTTATATATATTATTATTTTTTACCTACATCATGAGATACCCTCGAAATAGTTACTAAGAATGTTCTATTCTTATGATTTCTTGAATAGAAAGAAAAGTGATTTAATTAAAACTACAGTTGTATTTGAGTATAAGTAAAAACTTCATTCACATGACGTGAAAATAAACTTGACAAGGCATTTATGTTGCAATGCGAAAGATATTACAGTTGTAATTATCATTTAATTGCTTGCAACAATCACAAAATGCAGAGAACATAATAATAATATATAATACGATGATTTATTTTGTTTGGAAAATTTTCATGGATTGCATTAAAAAATAAGTTTTTTTTCGTTGTTGGTAGACAAGCATGACACTTTTGATTGAAAGTTTTAAAATCTCGAAGAAGACGTTATATTAGCTGTGTAGAGGGTACATAGTCTATGACGTCAATGTTCTGTAGAGGATACTGTTAATATGACACACAAAAAAATTAATAGTTCAGAAATCGTTTTCACTTGATAAATTTAATTATTCATCAAGATTTAAAAAAATCAAATTCTAACACATTTTTGTTCTCTTAATTTGAAGCTGTTTGCTCATCACCTCCAGCAATCGAAAATGCAGCAGTTTTTGTTCAGGGCAATAGAGCAAAATATTGCTGCTTAACGGGATATTTCGCCATTGAAAATACAGTTGACATTATTGAATGCAGCAACAGAATCTGGCCGTCACCTGATTTTAAATGTTTAAGTAAGGATCATGGTCTATATACATAAATTACATATAACAGTGACTTAAATTTTAATTCATAAATAAATGCAACTAAAATTGTATTTTTATGTTCCTACAGAAAGCCTTGACATTTGGGATGTCTTTTAAAATCATAAATACATGTATATCTTTTCTTAAATGCTTTATTAATGGGTTGCACCAAAACATATATTTAAAGTATTGCAAGTCAGAAAATAATTCGAAGATCTGTAAACCATTATGTAATCTTAGTTATTTGACCATGTTTATTAATAGTAATTACACTATGTTTTCTATACAGAATCCTGTCCTGATCCACCATCCATTGCTAATGCTAACGTCATGGTCTCTAACAATGTTGCTTTGTATTCCTGTCATGAGGGGTTTCTTCCAAAATCTGGAACCAGCTCAATAAAATGCTTACAATCTGAGTGGCAAACAACAAATTTCAGTTGCTATGGTAAGAGGAGTCCTTTTTCCTATTTTATTCGTAACTATGTTGTTTGAGAATAACCTTCTTTTGACAGTTATATATATTATTATTTTTTACCTACATCATGAGATACCCTCGAAATAGTTTCTAAGAATGTTCTATTCTTATGATTTCTTGAATAGAAAGAAAAGTGATTTAAATAAAACTACAGTTGTATTTGAGTATAAGTAAAAACTTCATTCACATGACGTGAAAATAAACTTGACAAGGCATTTATGTTGCAATGCGAAAGATATTACAGTTGTTATTATCATTTAATTGCTTGCAACAATCACAAAATGCAGAGAACATAATAATAATATATAATACGATGATTTATTTTCGAGTGAATTTTTTTTTATAAATTGCATAAAAAATAGTTTTAGGGATTTTATTTCGTGGTTGGTAGACAAACATGACATATCTCTTCATTGAGTGTTGAATATTTTGGTAAATGAATTACCAGATGTTTATGAAAGCAAATTAATATTTCAATTTACATCTTTTAAATCACACTAGTATGAAATATGTGTACCATTGAAACTTTAAAAAGAAACAAGAAATAATTTTTCATCAGTAAGAACAATTCTTTTTCTGAAGGGTTAACATATGGAAAAGTATCAGACTTATATCAACCGCCCTTATCAGAGGAAAAAATATAAATATAACAAATTAATCTTTTTCTCTATGTACTTTTATAATATACTTTTTATTCTTTATGCCAATTTTGACATCTTAAATTTCCTAATAATGTTACGAGTAATTAATAATAAGCAAATAATTCACTGATTTGTTATCGAAAGAACTTGGTTCCACAAACTTTCCATGTCTGTGATAGTTTTCTTTATTTGAGCATTTTAACACGCATTCTCTGTAAGCACCAAAAAATCTTGGAAACGACATGTCTTGGATTTTGATGAAATTTGCACCACAGGTGTGTCTTGGTACAAAACTAGCAAATATGGAGTCGGAAGTTCCACACGTGCACTCGGTTGCCATGGAGACGGATCCATTGAATTTGGTCATTTTTGGCCCTTTTTGACCAAATGAAAACTTGAAAATTGAGGAAATGTAAACAAACATTTATCGGTATCTAATACACTCAAACAAAACTCATTGGATCATATGATAACATGAACTTTTAAGGAACACAGGGCATATAATCATTTATTCTACAAATATTCCTATTCTAAGAAAAAGGTCATGCAAACTGACATGGTTTCTGAAAATTTGAAAAATGGGGAATTTAGTATTTTTTGAGATCTTTAAGGCTAAATAACAAAAATTGTCCGTGGAAAATTTCCAAATCTTATGTGTGTTTTTATACTGGAGAATTAGTAGTGTCATCTCATGAAAAAATATCAGTGGGCTTTTAATCCTATTTTTAGTAACATGTATCTATAAATAGATATATTTTAGAAAAAATTAAAAAATCGAATTTTGGCAAAGTTTTAGATGTCATTGCTGGATAATTAGGAAGTATATTGTAAAATTTAAGATGTTAATGACAGTAGCTGGACACCACTAGCTGGAGTGGACAATGGTTGAGGGGGATTCCCATTTCTATTTATAGTATCAAGCACCTAAATATAGAGATGTCTCTGAATATTGGGAAAAATGACAGTTTTATGCTAATTGGAAGCTTCATAGAAAAAGTCTTAACAAATATTAAGCTTTCTACAATATGCTCTCAAAAAGAAAATGTGCTTGTACAATAATTGATAAAATATTGAGGATCGACTCTTGTTTCTTTTTATAGCAACAATGGTCTAAAAATAGATTCCTCGAATTATCGAGAAAATGTAGATTTCTTGCACTTTTTCAGGCAATGTTGGATGGAAAAAATGCAGACTAACTGTTATAAACCTAGTGCGACTGACAAGTACTAGAAACCATTGACTGAAATACACACTATTTGAAGGGGGTTCCCTTTTCTATTTTTAGCACAAACATCCATAAATAGAAACATCTCAGCATATGAGGAAAAATTACAATTTTCCACCAGTTGTAAGCGTCATTGAAAAAGTATTCACAAAATATACTGCTGTCTACAATATGTCATGAACAAGAACATTTGGGTAATTAATAATTGACACAATATTGAAGATGGACTCTCTTTTCTTTTCATAGCAACAGTTGTCTAAAAATAGATGCATTGAATTATTTAGAAAATATAGATTCTTGCACTATTTCAGACATTATGGATTAAAAATTTGAATACTCTCTATTATAAACATTATGTGACTGACAAGTACTAGAAACCAATGACTGAAATGCAAAATGTTTCAAGGGGATTCCCATTTCTATTTTTAGCACAAAAAATAAAAACTTAAATATGTCTTAGGAAATGAGGTAAAATAAAAATTTCCACATACTGGAAGCTTCATAAAAAATATTTACAAACAATTTGCTATCTGAAATATTTTAACAACAGGAACTGACAAGTACCAGTGACCATTTACTGTAATGCCCTGTATTTGAAGGGGGTTCCCATTTCTATTTATAGAATCAAACACATTAAAATTTACATCTCAATATATGAGAATAAATAACAATTCTTCAGTAAATAAGCTTCACAGAAAAAAAATTACAAAATAAACTGCTCTCTACAATATATCATTAACAATTAAGAACAGTTGGTCAATTAATATTTGACACTATTTTAAGGGTGAACTTTCATTTTTTATAATAGCAAAATTGTCAAAAAATATCAAAATGCTGTGAGTTATCCAAAATATGTAAATTCTTGCATTATTTCACACATAATGGATGAAAACTTTGCATCCTAACAGTTACTGTTATAACCAATATGTAAAAGAAAAGCACTAGTGACCATTTACTATGTAGATTCTTGCACTATTTACAGACAGTAAAGATAATTTTCCACCAATCAGAAACTCATAGAAAACGTATTTACAAATAAACTGCCCTCTACAATCTGTTAACATCAAGAACATGTGGCTAGACAACACTTTGTATATTATTGAAGGTAGATACTCAATTCTTTTTAAAGCTATAATTGTCTGAAAAGAGATGCTGTGAATTATAGAGAAAATGTAGATTCTTGCACTATTTCAGATATTGTAAAGGGCAAAGAAGAAGGTACAGTTTAAATGCAAATTTAGCCCTGTATTTTTTTTTTAATATGAAATTATGGTCAGAAACTAAATAAATGCTTTCTCAACCATTTAAATTCACATGCAGAAAGATCATACACTTTTTAGCTCAACTGGTCAGAGACCAGAAGAGCTTATGTGATAGTAAGGTGTCCGTCGTCTGTCCATCTGTCTGTCCATATTTCTGTGAACAATGTTTCTAAATGCTACTCCACTTACAGTTTTGGGCTGATTTCAATATATATTGGCACACAAGTAGACTACTTTAAGATACATAATTCTATTCATCAGTTTTTGATTTCGATGAATGGTGTTGCCATGGTTACTAAAAATAGAAATTTCTTTAAAACACTTTCAAAACGCTACTCCTCCTACTGTTTTTTTTTTTATTTCAATATAACCTGGCACACAAATAAATTACACTAAGATATATAATTCTATAAATTGGTTTTGGATTTCGATGAACAGTGCTGCCATGTTTAGTAAAAATAAAAAATTTTGTGAAATACTTTCAAAATGCTACCTTCCTACAGTTTTGGTCTGATTTTCATATAACATGCAAGTAGACTAAACATAAATACAAATTGTCTATCCTTTTCCTTTTTTGATTTTGATAAATGATGTTACTATGCTTAATAAAAATAAAACTTTCTGTAATTTTTTTTTCTAAAGGCTACTTCTCCTACAGATTTAGTCTGATTGCAATAAATCTTGCCACAAAAAGAGACTAAACCAAGTATCATTATTCTACCTAATGCTGTTCCAATGTTTCAAGTCAAGATGCTTCTTTCCTGTTCCTTTTTTATAAGTACAAACCGATAGAGCTACAGTCTCATCAGATACTTCTAGCTTATATATGATCTCCTAATTACCAATTGTGATGTCATGAACCTGTGCATTTTTCTGTATTTTAATTAAAATTTGCAGAAGACATCAATTATCATTGGAATTTTCTTTTAGACAATATGGACCATATGCATCTACTTTCAGTGTTGTTGCTGATTACTGATTACTAAACTATTTATTTTTCCGATTCCTGATTGTCCTAATTCTTGTCTTTGAGCAATGTATTTTCATCTCAAAGTTTATTTTCTCTCTATAATTCTTTTTAGCCAAAGACTCAAAGAGCTTATTCTGTGGCCGTTTCTGTGGTCTGAGTCAACTTTTTGGAATATGGACCATATCTATAGAACCTTTTGGCCAATTTTTGTCAAATTTGTCACAGAGCGTCCTTCGCTGATACCAAACATAGGGATGTGTCCCTTAAACAAGGAGAGATAATTAGGGAAACAAGAGGCCCATGGACCACAAGGCTCAGCTGAGTAACTTTGTCCCTCCTGTTACTCACCAGATCCCCCTCCCCTTGTCATACTTATTGTGGCCCACCCTACCCCTGGGGGTCATGAAATGATTTGAACAATTTAGAATCTACACTACATCTGGAAGCTTCCACATAAGTTTCAGCTTTTCTGGCCCAGTGGCTCTTAAGAAGATTTTTAAAAATTTTCATATATATTTCAATTTAAAACTTTGCTTCCCTATTGTGGGCCCATCCTACCCCCGGGGGCCATGATTTGAATAATTTAGAATTTACACTACCTCGATCCAGAAGCTTCCACATAAGTTTCAGCTTTTCTGGCCCACTGGTTCTTGAGAATATGTTTTAATGACCCAATACTATTTTTGTTCCTTATTGATTTTCTCACCTTGCAATGGGGCTTGGCCTTTAATTTTAACAATTTAAACTCCCCTTCACTCAAGAATTCTTTGTAATAAGGTTGTTTAAAATTCACTTAGTGGTTCTTGAGAAGAAGTTGAAAATGTGAAAAGTTTACAGACGGACGGACAAACGGACGGATGACGGACAACAGGTAATCAGCTTAGGTAAAAGTAGTGGTTGCTTAAACAAATCCTCTTCTTAAGAACCACTGGGCAGATTATCACAAAACTTAATTATATGCTAACATGGATGAAAATATGATGTAGATTAAAAATTGGTGAAGGCATAACCCTGGGGTATTATTATATTACCCAATATAATGACTGGAATTAAGATTTTTTTCAAATGATGCATCTTAGGACCTCATGTCAAGTTGACTCAAAAGTAGGTCACGATGACCTTTTTTGAATTTTGCATGCATTCATCTTTCATTTTATTTTGATGCATATCTCGGACACTTTGAAGTCTCTAATCATCAAAACTTATCAGTCGATGCATCATGGGGCCTTAAAATGTGTCAACGAAAAAGTAGAAAAGTAAGTCACCGTGACCTACTTTCTGATTTTATGGCTAATCATTTTCAAATAAATTACTGTCATTAGTTTAAATACTGAGAGGTTTAGACTGATTAAACCTTGTAAGTTGCATTTAAATTTTGTCAGTATTTATTTTCAAATCATTTTAGAGGCATATTTTGGACACTATGAAACCTAGAATCATTAAACATTGTCAGTTGATGCATCTTGAGTCCTCGGAATGTACCTATTAAAAGTTAGATCACCATGATCTACTTTTAGAATTTCATGATGATATTTAAATATTTCAGATGGTAATTGGCTTAGATTCATCAAACTTTGTCACGGAATGCATCTTGGGTCCTCAGGATGTGTCAAACAAAAGTAGGTCACTTGGATTTTTAAGAGAATATCTAAATATTTGAAAGAGTAAGAGGCTAATAATTTCTCATTTGATGCATCTCGGGATCCCAGACTATGTTAACCTAAAGGTAGGTCACAGTGACTTAATTTTGGAATTTCACAGCTATATCTAAATATTTCTGATAATAAGAGGCTTAGAGTCATCAAACTGTCAGTTAAAGCATCTTGGGTCCTCGAAATTTGTAAACAAAAATAGGTCATGGTGACCCAGCTTTGGATTTTTAAGGCAATATCTAAATATTCCAAATTATAAGAGGTTTACAATCATTAAATTCACAGAGTTTATCCAAAAGGTTGGTCACAGAGCTACTTTTGGGATTTCAAGGCTTTATCTAAATATATAACATACATGTACTAAAAAGCTTAGAATAGAAGTGATACGGTTGTAAAATTTATCAGAAGAGCGATCCTAGGCCCTTGGGTCTCTTGTTAAATTGCCATTTCATTGATCCGTTACAGGGTTATTCTCAAATGACTGTTAAAACCCTCTGGCCTCTTGTATAATTTTGTTGCTATAAATAGAAATGGAAATCCTCATTGATTTTGTGTATTTCAGTTATGAATAGAACTGGAAGTCCTCATTGTTTTTTTTGCGCTTTTCAGTTAATGGTAACTTGTACATGTACTTGTCAGTCTTATTATGGATATTTTACTAGAAAAAGACTTTAATGGTAACCTAACAACAAAGCTTTATGAAAAACGTGATGACTTCAATTTTTCAATCGTCAACTTCCCTTACTTATGTAGCAATATACCCTTATCAACTGCATATGGGGTTTTTGTCTCCCAGTTGACTCGATACGCAAGAACATGATCTACGTATGAACAATTTCTAAAACGAGGCAAGCTTTTGACAAACAAGTTGATGAAACAAAGATATCAACAGTCTCGTTTGAAGTCATCATTTGGCAAGTTTTATGGTCTGTACAATGACCTTGTCAGCAAATACAACCTATCAATAAGTCAAATGCTGACTGACTTTTTTCATGCTTATTGTTAGGAAATTATTTACACACTGAATTGTCTACGGATTTTTCCGGGTTTTTTTGTTTTTGTTTTTTGATCATGACAAGGAGCACACAGCGGGTGTGATCGGTCGGCAGGGGATGCTCACTCCTCCATGGCAACTGATTCCACCTCTGATGTTTTTGGAGGTCCGTGTTTGCTCTGCTTCCGATTTGTATTGTCTAAATGGACTTCGAGCTTGAATACTGTTCGTTATCTCCATATTTCATTTCGTTTTCACCATTCAGTTAGTCTGCAAATTTTCCATCCATGATATCTCAAATAGTGCGAATTTACTTAATACAGCATCTATTTTTAGACAACTGTTGCTAAAAAAAGAATTGTGAGCTATCTTCAATAATATGTAAAGTGTTGTTTAAACAACTGTTTCTGTTATTATTGAAGTATTGTAGATAGCAATATGTTTGTAAAAATTTTTAATGAAGCTTCCAAAATGTGGAAAATTTTTATTTTACCTCATATACTAAGACGTATTTAAGTTTTTGGTTTTTTTGTGCTAAAAATAGAAATGGGAATCCCTTGAAACATTTTGCATTTCAGTCATTGGTTTCTAGTACTTGTCAGTCACATAATGTTTATAATAGAGAGTATTCAAATTTTTAATCCATAATGTCTGAAATAGTGCAAGAATCTTTATTTTCTAAATAACTCACTGCATCTATTTTTAGACAACTGTTGCTATGAAAAGAAAAGAGAGTCCATCTTCAATATTGTGTCAATTATTATTTGCCCAAATGTTCTTGTTCATGACATATTGTAGACAGCAGTATATTTTGTGAATACTTTTTCAATGACGCTCACAACTGGTGGAAAATTGTAATTTTTTTCTCATATGCTGAGATGTTTCTATTTATGGGTGTTTGTGCTAAAAATAGAAAAGGGAACCCCCTTCAAATAGTGTGTATTTCAGTCAATGGTTTCTAGTACTTGTCAGTCGCACTAGGTTTATAACAGTTAGTCTGCATTTTTTCCATCCAACATTGCCTGAAAAAGTGCAAGAAATCTACATTTTCTCGATAATTCGAGGAATCTATTTTTAGACCATTGTTGCTATAAAAAGAAACAAGAGTCGATCCTCAATATTTTATCAATTATTGCACATTTTCTTTTTGAGAGCATATTGTAGAAAGCTTAATATTTGTTAAGACTTTTTCTATGAAGCTTCCAATTAGCATAAAACTGTCATTTTTGCCAAAATTCAGAGACATCTCTATATTTAGGTGCTTGATACTATAAATAGATATGAGAATCCCCCTCAACCATTGTCCACTCCAGCTAGTGGTGTCCAGCTACTGTCATTAACATCTTAAATTTTACAACATACTTCCTAATTATCCAGCAATGACATCTAAAACTTTGCCAAAATTTGATTTTTTAATTTTTTCTAAAATATATCTATTTATAGATACATGTTACTAAAAATAGGATTAAAAGCCCACTGATATTTTTTCATGAGATGACACTACTAATTCTCCAGTATAAAAACACACATAAGATTTGGAAATTTTCCACGGACAATTTTTGTTATTTAGCCTTAAAGATCTCAAAAAATACTAAATTCCCCATTTTTCAAATTTTCAGAAACCATGTCAGTTTGCATGACCTTTTTCTTAGAATAGGAATATTTGTAGAATAAATGATTATATGCCCTGTGTACCTTAAAAGTTCATGTTATCATATGATCCAATGAGTTTTGTTTGAGTGTATTAGATACCGATAAATATTTGTTTACATTTCCTCAATTTTCAAGTTTTCATTTGGTCAAAAAGGGCCAAAAATGACCAAATTCAATGGATCCGTCTCCATGGCAACCGAGTGCACGTGTGGAACTTCCGACTCCATATTTGCTAGTTTTGTACCAAGACACACCTGTGGTGCAAATTTCATCAAAATCCGAGACATGTCATTTCCAAGCCCTATAGTAAATTTGTTGGTGCTTACAGAGAATGCATGTTAATATATTGAAATATGAAGATAACGAACAGTAATCAAGCTCAAAAGTCCATTGAAACAATATAAATTTGGAGGAGAGCAAACACGGACCTCTTAAAACACCAGAGGTGGGATCAGGTGCATGGAGGATTAAGCATCCCCTGTCGACCGGTCATCCCAGCCGTGTGATCCTTGTCATGATCGGACAAACGGAAAAATCCGTAGACAATACAGCGTGAAGATAACGGCCTACGTGTACCAATATGTGTGAAAAACGTCAGTCAACAATCGATTTAATGATAGATTGTATTTGGTTACAAGGGCATCATATCGACAATAAAATTTGAGAATTGTTGATTTATATATAAAAAAAAGTATGCATGCTGGACACATTGTCTTAAGATTCTACATTAAATGAATTATTATTCATACAAGTGAAATATAATTTTTTATAAATCATTCATACTGTATCCAATTCCTTAGATATGTTTCTGAACATTTGAATCAATATTTAGAATTGTTGAAAAACAGATAACGGGTATCATTATATATCTGCACCCTATTGTGAATTTCAGCGTCATCTTGTGGCCCATTGCCTAACATAACAAATGCTGATTTCTTAGTTGATAATGATGTGGCTATGTATGCATGTCGCTATGGATTCAGGCCAACAAATTCGGACAATAAAGTAACATGTGTGTCTGGGGAGTGGACCTATACCAGTCTGAAGTGCCAAGGTTCTTCTTTTTGTCATAAATTCAAAAATATTTTCAGGATTCAATTTTTCTCTGTGTTTTCTATTTTTGCAAACAATTAGGTAAATAACAATATTATAGAAATCATTATTTCTTGTTTGAGAACGATGTTTGTGATTTTCATGGGTCACCCTTTCTCAAAAAGTTACATCCCACGGGCGATGGCTGTCAAAGTACAGGTTCATTGAATCTTATATATTTACGAACCAACACAATTTCGTTTTTCACGAACATTATACCCACGAATTAAAATAATTCCATAATAATCGTGTCGTCTCCTATGGACCATTTTTACCTTTTCGTAAATTCATTTACTGTAATATATTTTTCCTTAAATTTCTTTTCACTTAATGTACAATCAAAATCATGTTTTTCCCTTTTCAGATACATCAAACAGACAAAGAAGCTATGTCACCAATGAAACGCTTGAAGAATGGATAAAAAAGATGAAGGAGGATCTATACGTAAATAAGTCAAAAACCAGTGTCTATAACAGAAGTTTGATAAGTGTGTATGAATCTCGTCCGAGTGCTGTACAGTTAGGAAGTGTTGGGGTCTTTCTGATAAGTTTTATGATAACAGCTTTAATATTACCAGATATAATTGCCCTTGTCAAAAAAGTGTGTCATAAATTAAATAAGACTTTCTGTTATCGTCGGATAAATCAATGAAATGTATTAAGTATATTACGGCTGTACATGTTTTGTTATAATGTGTTTAGACAACACCTGATGCACTTTGCTGATCAGATAGTATTCCGGAACATTATATATTAAATGTAAATTTTAACTGCAAAATTTTGATTGTAAATATGTTGATTTACCATATTCAATTATGAAAACATCTCATTTTAAAAACTTATCATGAATGTAAGCTATCTTTATCTTTTGAGCAAAGCTCCCAAATAAATATTTACAAAAGAAATACAAAAGAGGGAGATAGGGATATCGAAAAGTACTACGTTTCCTATTAAGAATTCATAGTATATTCTTAAAGAATCGATTAGTTTATTTTTGGGAAGAGAATTTGAAGGAAGAGATGTTTCGTTCACTTATTGGCCTTATTGGTTATGAGGAAAAGATAGCAATTAAAAATGAAAAAAAACCAATGTGAGTTATGTGAGTTAGCCTTTCTTCTGGTCTCTTACATGTAATATTAAATAAAAATGTTCGGTTTTTTAATTTCAAATTAGTTTTCTTAATCTACTGCAAAATCATATTTTCGTGGGTTCAAATTTTCTTGGGTTGAGGAAAAAAACAATGGGTTCGTAGGTTGATTTCGTGATTGAAGAATATTTGAGTAGTTATATAGTTTTTTTTTTTTTAATGTCGTGATAGACGTAAATTCATGGTTCCTTTTATATCTCGAAAAAGCGAAAATTAAACCCCACGAAAATAAATCATTTTACAGTATGTTAGCCGTACTCGATCGAACATAGTGCGGATTTGTCACAGCAAAACGTGAAAGCACTTAAATCCATATAAATCATTAAGATCTTTGCTGGCCATAATGATTTGCATGTCGCATCTTGCACGGCGTGACTTGCAAATCACATCTAGTGGCCCATTTTGTTTTGATGTGCCATCTTTTTGCTAACTTTTTCTTGTGATGTATTGATTGTCTTGTTTTATAGGTACTTTTTTTTCTAGTTTTTTTTTTTTTTTTTTTTTGGGGGGGGGGGATCAGACATGGTCATAATTTAAGTAACTTTCAATCAGAGCTTTTGAGAATGATCCTCTTCTTGTGTGTTAGATTGTTTACCTTTATATAGTCATTTAAATTAATGACAAAATTCTTCTCTGTGATATGCCTTCCTAATTTATTCAAAATTAGCAAAAACTAGCTGCGGTGAGCTGCCTAGCATTAAACGACATAAAACAACAATTAATACAATAATAATTGTATTTATGTATTTAATGCGGGTAATCATTTAGAGGTTTTCATGAGGATTAAATGCTTGTAAAATTCCTTTACTGTAAAAATTCTTAGATCCACGCCTTGGTCAATGAAATAATTACACCTAGCAGAGGATTGTATAAGGTCACGTGGTCAGCTGCTTAGCTAGTCAGTTGTTGTTTGATATTCGCACGCTGACCACCGTTTACACGAGACACGTCTAATTAGAAGACCCACTACCACCCCTTTGATCCTACCCCTCTTTTTATGATTCATATATTATATGTGACATTTTGTATTGAAGTGCCATATTTTTGCTAACCTTTTCTTGCGACGTTTTGGTTATCTTGTTTATAGCTACTTTACTCATTTTGGGGGATCAGACATTTTTAAAATTGACGTAACTTACAATCAGAGCTTGTGAGTCTGAGCCCGCCTGTTTTGTTTTGATGTATTATCCTTTTGCTAATCTTTTCTTGTTATATTGTGATTATCTTGTTTTTATAGGTACCCTTTTGGCCATTTTGTTCCATTTTGTTTTGATGTGTCATCTTTTTTGCTAACTTTTTTCTTGTGATGTTTTGATTGTCTTGTTTTATAGGTACCTTTTTCTTGTTGTTTTTGGGGGATCAGACATTATCATATTTTACGTAACTTTTAATCAGAGCTTGTGAGTTTGATCCCCTAACTGTGTGTTAAATTATTTACATTTATACCGTCATTTAAATAAAAGACATAGCTCGTCTCTTTGAAGGTGTTTTATTTTATATATACAAATTTAGAAGAAAAAAAACTAGCTGCGGTGAGCTTACCTGGCATTATAAGACATAAAGATCTTTACTGGTCATAATAATTTGCATTTCAGTCGTTAGAGCAATAACCATGACAGACTAAGAATTATGATATAAATACATGTATAAAACAAAATGACGATATATAAAATAAATGGTGCCTTTCAGTTTCTATTAGATAGTGATATATAATCATGTTATTAGTAACATAATTTCTCAGTGGAAAAGGTAAAGGTAACAAACAAGGATCTATCTAATAAATCCTGTAAAAATTGAAATTCATAAAAGCTAGGGGCAAAATCACGCGACTATCGAAACTGAAGCGGGATTTGGTGCCTTGAAGGAAAACACATCCTTTTTAACCGGTCACACCGTTCACAGAAGCTCAGTCGGTAGGGCGCTCGCTCCGTGATCGGGAGGTCGTGAGTTCGAATCTCGGCCGCGACTGACCTAAGTCGATAAAAAATGGGTAGCAACTGTTCCTTCGCAATGCGCTCGGAACTTTGAAGTGAAAGTGACGGGTCTTTCGGATGAGACCTTAAAATCCGAGGCCCCGTGTCACGGCAGGCGTTGCCACGATAAAGATCCTTCACTGCTCAATGGCCCTGAGTAAAGGTCAATGAAGCCCTTCACTGGTACATGTATATGGCGACGTTTCTATATGAGTGAAAAATTCTCCAATGGGACGTAAAACAACATACAAACAAACAATTTAACCAGTCACTCCCACCGTAAGCCCTACATGTATGTATTGATCAGGAAGACGGAGTAATATTTCGTCAATATTAATTTTAAAACAGTGGCCATACAATTGGAATGAAATATATCAATCAAAATACGACACAACTGTTGGTTGTATTTGCCAACAAGGTCATAATATCGACCATAGAATTTGTAAAGTTTGAAAGACTGTTGGAAGACCTCGTCTCTAAAGATTACTTAGATATTGTCAATGAGGAACTCCATCTTTTAAGTATTAAACTTAGACTATTTGTATGTGGAATCAAAATTGAAGGTAGGTTAAGCTTCACTTCTGTGAACTATCATATAAGACGTCATAAACGAATATGACGTCATCACTGCAAACTCGAGATTTTATGACGGGAGGGGTTCAGAAACTTCACATTTATTTTAAACTGCACGTAAAATGTTATAACTCTATTGCAAATTTCACACGTATCAATCATAATAATTTATCTGAAAAATTCAAAATATTTCGCTTCCGGTATTTACCCTTAATTGAAATTAAGGGTATTCAACATGCTTACGAAAAATGAACTTTTGAAATATACTTTGTTATATATCCATGGTTAGAGGTAGAATTTTTTATATAAAAAAGCCTGGTGCAGGTAATAATTAAGAAATAATTTGAAATCTCTTGTGGAAATTTATAAGAGGAGTTAATTCTTTAACAGAATCTTACTTGGGAAAAATATATGCGATGGTTTTGTTCTAATTCAGATTACGATATAGAGTGCAAGATATCCTAAAATGTGTCGTGAAGTTGATCTTATGAAATATTTTGTACAGAGTATGAGTTAACATTATTTTATAAAAGTGCATAAGTTACAAATTAAAATCAAAACCAACATTTCAAAGCAATATCATGTTTTAAACGCATTTTAAGGCTTATGGAAGCCTTATCTGAAACAAATTTTATCTAAATAACTATGAAAATAAAAAAGTTACAAGATTTTCTTTTTAGAAATTTCTGTCTCTGAAGATAAAAGTATTATCGGGAATAGTTATATAAAGTGTTGAAATTTCACGTTCTCATCCTGTTACTTTTGGGAAAAATGGCATCTTAAATATTTTAAAAGTCCCTTGGTTTTGAGAATCAACATCGGAGTTACACCACTTCTTGAGTATGTTGTTTTTTATTGTTTAACGTCCCTCTCGAGAATTTTTCTTTCATACGGAGACGCCACCACTTGCCGGTGGAGAGCTACAAATTTCGACCTATACTCAGACTTATAGACTTTGTTTTTTATTATAGACTATCTATTTGCTATATAATAATGTATATTACACAGCTGTAATTACTCGAGTTTACTGAATCATGGTGTTGATATACATACTGCATGTAGTTGAGGATAAGGGCACTTGTGATTTTAACTGGAAATGCAGCAGTCTAGCAAAAATCTTCAAAACTTGGAGGTGTAAAAACGTCTATTTCTTTAAGTATAATGCATTAGAGCAGAACAAAGCTATATATTGTATGTAAAGTGAATTGAAATGATTTATCTTGTCAGGCAGTTTGAAAGAAAAAACATCAACAATACCCAAAACCCGAATATGCCTCAAGAGTGTCCTACCCTTCCTTTTTATACATGCACATACTCATTATTTACATTAACTTCCAGTGCCCGTGGTTGAGGATAACATTGAACATTTTTACCCCAAGAAAACAATTGTCAACCTAGGCTGACAATGGGTATAGAGGGGTGAAAATGTTCAATGTTACCCTCAACTACATGCAGCATTTATCATTCAGAGGGTAGCAATATTTTTTAACAAATGTTACTCAACGAATCAAATTCAAGTAATTAACATGAAAGTATTATATATGTTAATATTCAACACGTTTGTCAGTATCGTAATTATGAACAAAAAGACGAACTTTTTTGGACAATCCTCGTATTATAACAAATATAAACCAGAAGTCTCTGACGAGAGTGTAGCTCTACTGGTTGTATTTATAAAGGAAGATAAAAGTAGCGCTTGGACTTGAAACTTTGCAACAGCAATAAATAGAATAATGATCCTTGGTTTAGTCTCTTTTGTGGCAAGATTTATTATTATATAGACTAAAACTGTAGGAGGAGTAGCCTTTTAAAACAATTTTACAGAAATTTTGATTTAAGTAACCATGGCAACAACATTCAACAAAATCAAAAAACAATAACACCAATTATGTATCTCTGTAGTCTACTTGTATGCCATATTATACTGAAATCAGACAAAAAGTATAGGAGGAGTAGCGT